GTTGAAAGGGCTTCGGAGATCTACTCTTCTTCTCTGTCAAAGGGAATAAGGAAAAGGAAGAACTTTGAACGTAGGTTGAAAGATTTTAGATTTGGCCAACTTGCTGAGATATTTATATCAGTTTTCAACTTTTTTATTCTTTCTCCTTTTATCTACTTAGATTTCTTTTATCATCTCTTGACAGTTGCAATTGTGATTTTTTACTCAGATATCCTCACATTGAGACGGATCACTTGGTAAAGCTTCTGAAGCAACTGATACGAAGTTCTGCTGATCCATCACAAGGCTTGATTGGTGGGAATGCAATAAATGCATCTGCTGTCCCGACTCTCCTCGGAACTGGTTCTTTTTCACTTCTGGCTAGTACGTAGCTGTAATTCGTGATATTAATTTTGGCCATTGTATATTTTTGGCTCAATTATATTCTGATGCAATAATCTCCATACTTTAGTCAATTGTGTATTTTTCTTTTCATAATAGTATTATAAGTTATCCTCTTTTCATAATAATCTCCAGACTGAATGAAGAGTTTATATTCTTATCCTGTCTCTGCTATTCTTTATTTTTTCTAGCTTTTTTTTTGTCAACTCATATGCTCTCCATCTCCCCCTCAAAGGTGATCAAAATAAGAGGGATGGTCAAGTCAAACATCCCCCATGCCACTTGCGCTGGCCTCACAGGCTAGCTGATCAAGTGCGTGGACTTAGTTTAAGGGAAATTGGTGGTGGATTTCCTAGGCATCATCGTGCCCCTTCTACTCGCGCTGCATGTTATGCCATTGCAAAACCATCTACTATGGTACATAAGATGCAAAATATTAAAAGAGTCCGAGGGCACCGTAATGCTGTTTACTGCGGTATGATTTCACCTTTATTTCCCTTCTCTTTGTAGATTTGAAGTGGACAGGCATTTTCATATTGAGAGATTTATATGTCGTTCTTTATTAAGAGAGAGGATTACTTATTAGAGCTGCATCTTTCTTATATACTCAACATTGTAGTTTCTTAAGTTACTTGAAGCTTTTTTAAATTTTCTGATTTAGTCTTGCATGATATCCAAGGTATACCTTTGGAAAGCTACTATGATTTCAGGCAGAGTCCAATTAGATCTGAAGTGTGCACTTGGAAATGATTACCTTCCCATAATATGATTAAGAATTTTTTCTTTATCATTTGGCTGTATTTTTTTCTTGCGGCGATGGTCAAATTGTCCAGATTTTATTATCATGCATTCTTGTGCTTGACTCTGATCTGCCTTACAGTAGAATGATAGGTCAAACTCTTGTGTTTCCTTCGATAAGTTTCATACTTAAGAGTCTTAGTAATTGGAAACATCAGTATGGTAGTTATTTTTCCCTCATCATTTGGCTGTATTTTTTTCTTGCGGTGATGGTCAAATTGTCCAGATTTTATTATCATGCATTCTTGTGCTTGACTCTGATCTGCCTTACAGTAGAATGATAGGTCAAACTGATTGATCACTGGACTTTAAAATGTTGAGTTTTGGTTACTGAATTTAGGTTCATATTTTTGATTGGCCATTAAACTTTAAAATGTAGAGTTTTGGCAACTGAACTTAGTTCTATGTCTTTGATTGCTTATCGAACTTTAAAATATCGAGTTTTGGTCATTAAACTTTGAAAAATATTGTACATTACTCACTAAATTTTGAAAAATATTATATATTATTCATTGAACATTGAAAAATGTTGTACATTATTCACTATAAACTCGATATTTTTTAAAATTCAACAGTTATGCTTATGAGTAACGTACGGCATATTTCAAAGTTCAGTGGCCAAAACTTGACATTTTAAATTTCAGTAAGCAATTGAATACATGAACTTCAGTTCAGTGGCCAAAACTTGACATTTTAAATTTCAGTAAGCAATTGAATACATGAACTTCAGTTCAGTGGCCAAAACTCGATATTTTTCAAAGTTCAGTGGTCAAAACTCGATATTTTAAAGTTTACTGAGCAATCAAAGATATGAATCTAAATTCAGTGATCAAACTCGATATTTTTCAAAATTCAATGATCAAAACTTGACATTTTAAAATTCAATGACTAATTAAATACATGAATTTAATTTCAGTGACCATTGAAACAATTAATTTTATATTTTCACCTCAAGGCGTCTAAGGGTCCTAGAGTGGGCTTAAAGTTATATATATGACGCTCTCTCTCTAAAACGTCTCTCTCTTCTTCCTCTCTCTCTCTCTCTCTCAAACTATCTACACGAAAAACTCAAATACAGTGTTTCAATACAAACTTTCGACAGAGCTCCCTCCCATATATCTAAATCAAAACCAGTAAATTCAATTCATTATTAGCCCTAATGTAATATCCCCTTTTTGTGAAATTGAATTTTATTAATTCTTGTTTATCCTTTAAAAAGTTCTCTTAATTTCGATCTCCATTCTTGCCGTTCGTTCAGTTTTTTGTCTCTACCTAAACGAATTTGTTTTGTTGTTAATGGTACACTCTGTTACAGGTAAATATTTAATTTTCCAATTACGAGAAAAGGGAATTTCGTATTTGGTTTTGTTAATAATTTTATAGGGCTTTTTGCATGTGATGGATTAGATCTCGAATGGTGTTAATTTGTTTTTTTTGAATTGTTTATATGTTTGTTTTGTGGTAGTATAAAGTGTAAATAACTTGGAAATTTGGGGGTTTTGTTTTCAAATGCCACACTGGAATGCTAATGAGTCAAAGTTTTGAGTATCCGGTTGTGATAACAATTCTAAGCATTCAGAGGTTCGATCTTTAATTTTAGGCCTTATCGGGTTTGATTTGCTTGCTTTTTTGTTTACTTTTGATTTTGATTTTGTGAGCAAATCTGGAAATAATTTTAATTACTAACCTGGTTTTTTTTTAGTTTTACAAAGCAGGTTTATGATATACATACGCATGGATATGCACATGTTGGTTTTTATGCATCAAGTGATTGTATCATTTCACATTTCCTCTATTATTATAGCGAATAAGTTTTTAAATGTACATTAATGAATGTGGTTAATAAGCCATTTATATGACAGTGTTTTGCTTTGTGTATAAATGCTGTGAATTGAATGAGGTAAAAGTATTTTATTGAGACAATGAAATGAAAAAAGAAAAAAAAAAATCTTTTAGTGGTGAGTAATCAATTTTTCTAGAATGTTCCATCTTCATGGATTTCAAGGACTTGGACAGCTGATATAAAAATGTTATTTTTAGTGAAACATGGTCTATGTGGTGTGTATCAACATTAAATAGCAAAATTTAGATTTAATGGCTGAGATGGCATTGGCATTGACTACGATCATGGGACATGGACCCATGTTACTTGTAATGAAATGGAAATTAATAAAAGGTGTCTGTCTTTGTTAATGTTGACAGATAATCTCAGGCCCTCAGCAATATCGACAAAGCGGCCTTCTTTATTCTTAATTCTGTTTTGAGTCTAAACCAAATCCTAAAGTTTCCTGGATTTTGAGTTTTGACGTATAAAATTTGGTTTTCACTTCTTGTGGGATGAGAAATGAAGGTTTTGATATAATTACTTTGTAACAGCCTCGAGATTCTTCAGGATATGGCTCTCCAGAAATACGTTCCTTCTGGCGATGCTCCTTCTGTCAATATCAAAACATTGCGATTCTCCAGTAAGGAAAATGGAAAAGGCCAGTCTACAGTCCAGCAAAGAAGAACAACAGAAGCTGATGTGGACATTGACATCAGAGAGGTTTATTTTTTGATTATGCATTTCCTGTCAGCTGGACCATGTCACCGGACGTATGGGCAGTTTTGGAATGAACTTCTGGAGCATCAGCTTCTACCTAGAAGATATCACGCATGGTATTCACGGAGTGGAATGCAGAGTGGAGATGAAAATGATAATGGCATGTCTTTTCCATTAAGTTATAATAAGCTGGTGGAAAGGTAAACTCTGCTACTTGTCACCTGGGTAGATAACCTTTATAGCTGTTTTCCCTTTGAGGTTTGCTTTCTATCTTTTGATTTTGGTTTACTGAGAGTTCTATTTGGAAATTAAGCGATACATAGTCCAATTCGGTAGCCAGGTGTTTCTACAAGTCCTGCTGGTGGTCAAATGCATTTACTCCTCTCCTGCCCTCTTAGTATTATTGCATTACCACTGTTTGATCATGATTGCTAAATTATGAGAAACAATAGTTTCCCCCCTTTTTTTATTTTTTTAGTTGACTGCATAAAAGAATTAAGAGTGTGTTTGATTGACATGGAAAATATAACCTAGAAAAGAAAATATTTTCCATCTTTTATGGAAAATAAAAACCACCTCTATCCAAGGAAAATATTTTCCTTAAAAACAAGGAAAATTAAACATATTTTCAAAAGTTGGAAAATGTTTTCCATGAAAAAAATAGCAATCAAACACTCCAAATAGGAATTTAGATGGAAAACTGATATTTTCCATGAAAAATAAATGTAATCAAACACACCCTAAGGTTTCATAGAGGACTTCAACTAGTGTTGGTGGAGCTTTTTCTTTTTCACTTCTGGCTAGTACGTAGCTGTAATTCGTGATATTAATTTTGGCCATTGTATATTTTTGGTTCAATTATATTCTGATGCAATAATCTCCATACTTTAGTCAATTGTGTATTTTTCTTTTCATAATAGTATTATAAGTTATCCTCTTTTCATAATAATCTCCAGACTGAATGAAGAGTTTATATTCTTATCCTGTCTCTGCTATTCTTTATTTTTTCTAGCTTTTTTTTTGTCAACTCATATGCTCTCCATCTCCCCCTCAAAGGTGATCAAAATAAGAGGGATGGTCAAGTCAAACATCCCCCATGCCACTTGCGCTGGCCTCACAGGCTAGCTGATCAAGTGCGTGGACTTAGTTTAAGGGAAATTGGTGGTGGATTTCCTAGGCATCATCGTGCCCCTTCTACTCGCGCTGCATGTTATGCCATTGCAAAACCATCTACTATGGTACATAAGATGCAAAATATTAAAAGAGTCCGAGGGCACCGTAATGCTGTTTACTGCGGTATGATTTCACCTTTATTTCCCTTCTCTTTGTAGATTTGAAGTGGACAGGCATTTTCATATTGAGAGATTTATATGTCGTTCTTTATTAAGAGAGAGGATTACTTATTAGAGCTGCATCTTTCTTATATACTCAACATTGTAGTTTCTTAAGTTACTTGAAGCTTTTTTAAATTTTCTGATTTAGTCTTGCATGATATCCAAGGTATACCTTTGGAAAGCTACTATGATTTCAGGCAGAGTCCAATTAGATCTGAAGTGTGCACTTGGAAATGATTACCTTCCCATAATATGATTAAGAATTTTTTCTTTCTTGTGTTTCCTTCGATAAGTTTCATACTTAAGAGTCTTAGTAATTGGAAACATCAGTATGGTAGTTATTTTTCCCTCATCATTTGGCTGTATTTTTTTCTTGCGGTGATGGTCAAATTGTCCAGATTTTATTATCATGCATTCTTGTGCTTGACTCTGATCTGCCTTACAGTAGAATGATAGGTCAAACTTGAGTAAAGAAGTGAATTACTTGTAGAATATGTGATGTGCAATGACTTTAGCTCATAATCTAAAAATTTTGCCTACCTACAGCCATATTCGATCGATCTGGGAGATATGTTATCACTGGTTCAGATGATCGCCTCGTAAAGATTTGGTCAATGGAAACTGCATATTGCTTGGCCAGCTGCCGTGGACATGAAGTAAGTTAAAGCAGTCAGTTAATAACCTCAAGGCACATTTATTTTTCCTTGCTCTCCTTGGGATATTCAGTTTCGTGCATCTTATGCTTCAAGGGTGACATTACTGACCTGGCTGTGAACTTCAACAACACTTTAGTGGCTTCTGCTTCAAATGACTGCATCATCCGAATTGTAAGAACCTTTTCAGTCAA